CGTAGCGTGCCTTTTATGGACCGCCCCTCGCTCGCTATCCGCCGACTCTGCCGCCGCGCCGTGTCGCCCTGACACGGTCATAAACTTCGCAGCGCGCGTTATCAGCCGGAGGACGCTGCTCGGATCCAAAGTCTGCCCGGCGCGCCGACAGCTTGAATGTAGGCTTTGAAAGGCAGCAGAATATGGCGACGGGCTCCGCATGCCAAGCGTGCTGCTTGGGCATAACGGGCCACGGAATATCAAGGGACGGGTGCTAACGTGTCGCTGCGCTCTGGCACGATGGGGCTGTTGGTGGTGACGCCAGCATCGCCTCCCTCCTCGCACCGGTTCAGGACGGGCGGCACCGAGGCACCTCGACCTGCGCTCCCGCGTGCGGTCTCGCTGTCCGTGCAGGTGGTCAGGCCCGGCGTCTCGTCTCCACCCCAGCCGGCTCCCACTCTCCGCGGCCGCACGGCACGACACGTCCGTCGACGTCGGCTGCTGGCGTCCTGATGGCCGGCGGGCTGCCGCCAGCTTTGGGCCGTATCGCCGCCGGGCATGGCCGAGCCCAGCGGCCGGGCGACGGCACGCTGCGGCGGCTGTGACGTCACCAGCTGGCGCCAGCCGGGCGCGGCGTGCATGCTTGACCCGGTATTGATTGAGTCATGGCTGTGTAGCTGGCTGCCCGGCCGGCCGCCGAGGGACTCTTGTCCGGCAGGGGCACATGGCCGTGCTCTGTCGGTCGGGCGTGCACCGCCGCACGTTTCGGGGGTGCGCGTACGTGTGCACTGTACGCTCCCGATGCATGAGTACGTGGACGCTGTACGCTGAGGTGGTGTGCAAAAGTCGCAGACGTTATGCCAGCGTAGTCTGAACGTGCAACGGCGCCATAGCCGCACTAGGCAGCGGCCAACTAAAGGACCAAGAAGTTAAGTGGATAATATCAGCTTCGAGGATAGCGCATCGAATACTGCGGCACAAAGCGAACGGTGTGTGTGGCCACCCGCAAGAAGGCCCCCTACGACCTTTAGATCCGAACTCGAGTGCCCTCACCACTGCTCTTCCTGGTCGCACACCCCCGCACGCTCTCTTACACAATGCGTGTGGCTGCCTTTCAGAAGACCCCGCACGCCTTGTCGGGCACATATCATTTGACGTGGGCCAGGGCGGCGCTCGTGAGCAGCTGTCGCACCTATCGGACGACGACACTGCTATCACCTGGCCCTGCGCCGCCGTGCCAGGCACACACGCGCAGCGCGTGACTGTACGGCTGTCAGACTGACTCGCGCCTCCTGCAGATCGGTCACGCACGCCCAGTGACGTCATAATCATCAGAAGCCGGCGCGGAGCGCCCACTTGGACAGCGCCGTACACGACCGGCTTGCATGACCTTTGTGCGCGATGTTGGCATTGTGTTGGATTAGGTGACGAATAGCGTGACTCACAGAAGGGTGAAGGAGTGTCCTGCGATGTGATGTGGGAAGATGCGTCCCAGGTATCATGCGCGGCAGTCAACGGAAGTCGTATATCATTTGATGGGCTTGGATGCCTCCTGGCACTCACGCACTCACAAACGGCACTCGACACTCGTTTGTATCCCAGCTGATCTTGGCCGCAGCATACTCATTTATCGAATGCATGCTGTGCATGCTGAATGCATTGTATTAATATTAGTTACGGCAACGTAGATATATGCATGCGCTTACATGATATAATCCAAATAGTTCTTCTGGATTTCCATTCAGTACATGATGTGAACAGAACATAGAAAAAGCTCATCGCCTGATGTATATACAGTTAAATAAGAAACCAAGTGCCAGATTACTGTCAGAAACACTAAAAACATAATATGCACCGCTAACAACACTACAAACATGCAAAGATAGAATAGCATTCAAGTATGAGCGTGCATCACTCGCAAGATAGCCGTATCTCAGATTTCCGCCCAGCTGTCCACGTCCCTCACGGCACGCTTGAAGGCGGACAGTGAGCGGCACTCAGACTGATCGGCAGCCTGCGCCACGAGGACGACGCCCGGTATCCCCTCTGTGAGCATGCCAGCATGTATTTTGGCAGCTCCAGCCGTCCTGCTACGGTGGAACGAGTGGCACGGTAGGACACTGAGGACCTGGGGTGAACATGCTGCCCCATGCGGGGGTCCTTTCTGGTAGCTTAAAGCCTTATAGACTTTTGGTAAAGTTCAGTTGTGTTGAGTTGCATCGTATTCGTCTGTCTTGATAAGGGTCGAGCAGCATTATCAGCAACCTTGATTACACTTTGACCGCCTCAGAAAACCTATCCCAATCTGGCACAATGCCTTCACAGCGCGCTAATGACGGCCATGGTGCATTGTCGTTGGCGACACAGACGGATGGTTTGCACTCATGTCGAGGGGCAGGTCCATTTTCCATTGAAAGCACCGCACACACAAGTGTCGGCCGCCCGCCATTTTTGCCCAGTCTTGACGCCAATTAATAGCCAGCGGAGCCGTCTATTGTCTACGGCAGGGCCTCGGACCATTAGCGTGGACCGCCGCACCGACCATCCGACTTGGGCTTTGGCCAACTGGTTCCGCACGCGGTACGGGGCCTGTCGGTGCGCAGCTGATACTGGATCGCCGATAGCCATGGGCTAGCCGGCAGATCGTGCCGCTGCCCAGCCACTGCCCACTGTCCAGCCACTGTTCATTGCCCAGCCACTGTTCATTGCCCAGCCACTGCCCAATGCCCAGCCACTGGCCAATGCCCACCGCCAGGCATGGCAAAACCAGACGGACGTCACCAGCCGTGACGTTTATCATGAAATAAGTGGAAAAGGAAGTCCAGCAGCGAGAATAGTTCCCGTTCTCACATTCTCGCTAATTCCGAGGTTACTCTTCTCCGGGCACAAAAGCTGCCCAGACACCCACACTTCTCCAAACGATCAAATAAACCCGAAATAAACGTAGGTGAGTTCTTTTTAGAGTAGAATCTCATTTATATGATTCCAACAGGCGTAGACCAGGGTGAGGTTGTCACTTGGTATGCGGCTTTGTATACAGATGCTGACTCACGCAAAAACCAAACCCATCCTTGTTTCGCCGTTTCCTACGAAACCACCGAATTGGTTTTTTGAACATTTTGGAAGGATCGGTACGCCAGGAACAACAGCGATTCGAGTTATAAAATAAAAGCCAGAGGAAGTTCATAGAAATACTTTCTGTCGCTTGCATACTTTTTAATATTTTTGTCGTTTGGCTGACGGTATCTTTGATTGGTCGGTAAGAAGCAAACTATCTGAGACGAAGCTCGTACCAACGATGAACAAAGTACGAGAAACTAACTTTTTCGACCTACCATTGTCTTCATCTTCGTTGCACATTTTCAGTACGCATGTTGTATCGAAGCGTTTTACATTCTACCCCGAAGTCGCAGCAAACGTAATTGTCCGGTCTGCATGTCGTACACTCGGCACGGGAGCTGGTGAGCGCGTGCGTCCGTCAGTCTCAACTCTTTTCTGATGGAGGGCGGCATTACGGTGCGCTGGCCCGCCAGGCTGCTTGTTTCATCGTTCGTCTACCGCCGGCTATGCCACGGCTGAAGAAACACCGGACGGCGCCCATCACTCACGGGTGGTCGGCCAGTTTGTGGCGGGGGAGTCGGCGGAGGAGTGCGAGGGCTGAGGCGCGTGGAACACGTTGCAGCGATCCAGGGTAATCCATGCTTGGCAACTGGGCGAGTGATTCGGCAGCGTGAGACGTAGAGTTTATTTTTTTGTTTTGCGCGATTCTCTTCAGCACGAACGAGGGATGTCTGCGGTGGATGAACTAGAGAAACACGAACGAGGGATGTCCGTGGTGGATGAACTGAGAGACTCGCAGGCTCGCCGATGGCAGAATGCGAGGACCACCCAGTGTTGTTTGCTCGCTCAGTTTAGGCTGGACTCGAGGGGACGGACAGCTTTCGACAGTCTGTTTGTCAGTCTGTTTGACAGAACTGCCGGCAATAACAGACGTGGAGCAATTAGCCGTAAATTAACGTAGTGCGTGGCACGAAGGTATCAGTCGGGCCGCGTAATCGTGTCCATTGCTGACAGGTTAAAGGTTAACAGCGGAATCAGACGATGATCGTGAAATGAACGAATACTAAAGGGAATGAACGGGTTTTTTTGTTGATCTTGTTCCGCTTGGGCCTAAGTTATAGGCATGGGTACTTTGGGCATATGTAAGTGCACTTATGGTGACGGTTTGAGTGATTTAGTTGAGGAATAGTTAGTAGAGGACGGCAGGTCAAACTTCGCATCGTGGTCGTTCAGAAACCTGCCGATGCTATCTTAACTACGCATACATTCATTTTTCAAGTCAGTTTTGGGCATACCAGGTGCTGTTTAGATCTCGCCATGTAAACAGCTGTACGTATCGCGTGCATGGACGTAGCGGCCGTCCATGCGTGAAGCTGGCGCACATACATTGGCGTATTTACTCTAAACTCTGGATGAAAGTGTGTTTTACGCTAAGCTGTTGCCAACCTGCTCGTCTTTGGTGCTGCTCTTTCGCCTCAGTGAAATCGTTGGATATTGTTTTTGGCCAGACTGCTGGCAGAGCAGACGTGTGAAAACAACATCCCGTCCTCCTGGCTTCACAGAAACATTTACCGGCCGATGCGTTTATTGAACTTGGAGCAGTTCATGTACTGCTAACCAGCGATTAATGCTTAAGTGATAATATTTTGGACACCACTGAGCGAGTGAGAGGGCTTCTCATAAAGTCGGCTCGCATTCACTCACTGCTTATCTAGCTCACGCACACTTATCCGACGTAAATAGAGCCGTGCTATTGTCCCATAGCCGTGGGAACTATTGTGTTCGGGGGGCAGGCTCAGACCTCGCCCCAAATGTATCGTAGAATATAGTAGTATGCTTGAGAAGTTGCATAGAAATAAACAACATAAAGGGCTTCTGAGCCCGCCCGCCACCCCCCCCCCCCCCCCTAAACCTGCACAGATTCCGTCATTTTGGTGTTGTCCTGTACTCTGGTTTTCAGCATGGCGTAAAATTGGAGTACAGTAATTGGGCTTCAGTTCTTTTTGTAACTTGATCATCACAAAACTGGACTGCAGGTTTTCAGCATGGCGCAACGCTACCGGCTCTAACCACATTAAGGAATTGTGCTATGCTGTAGTGACTCAGCATCCCGAACCGTCCTGCCATGAGGTGCAATGGCGCACCAGAACCCGCGCCGTCGCAGAACGTCTCGTATCACGGTGCTGCGATAAGAGAGCGTGGCTGGCCCTGCGCGCGTCCGCCGAGCCAGTGCCGTGACTGGGTTTTGGCCTGTTGCAGGTATGGCGACATGGTGCCCAGCACCGCCATGGGCAAACTGGTGGGCGGCGTCTGCTCGCTGAGTGGCGTGCTGGTTATCGCGCTGCCCGTGCCCGTCATCGGTCAGCAACTTTAGCAGAATCTACCACCAGAGTCAGCGCACCGACAAGAGGAAGGCGCAGAGGTGGGTGGGTGCACATCCGGGAAGCCAGGAACTTTTAATCGAGTTCCGGACAAGTTATGCGCTGTGGAATGAGGCAATAAAAACGGAAAAGTGGCTCTTTGTCCGCTACATATTATGGCAAGTAATTTAAATGAACGCGTGTAAGGCATCGTGATTACTGCACAACTTCGTTTGCGCGGTTTCTCATATGACGTTGTTGACATGTTTTGGTTGGTGCACCTGCTTAGTCAGCCCAGTTTCTATTGCAACGCACACAGCTTAGACGTGTTTGATGTACAAACGTGCGTTACACCAAAAAGCACGGTATATTGCAGCACAAGAAACGAGTCCGGTAAGCGATCTCGTGCCCAAAAGGCATGAAAACTGGCGGGCATAAGGTGTTTGCGTCCCTAAACAACCATTGGCACTATTTGTAAACATTTTCAATCATTGTTGTTGGCCCTGTCGCCCGTTTTTTAGCCTCACATCATTGAGCAATCAAAATCATGTTTTGCGTCTGCTCGCATTTGAACATTCGCCGATCAGTCCGTTCAACAAGCATCCGCTAATTTCCCAGTCAACCCTCCACACGGCCCCTCTCGTTATAACCTCGCGCTCCAAACCGTCGTCGCCTTGGATTCGTCAGACGCCTCGCTCGGTTCGGCAGCGAGGCGTCTCGCTCGGTTCGGCAGCGAGGCGCCTCGTCTCGGCCGGCTGCCTACCAAACTCCCTCAGTTTGGTTCCAGCTTTATTGAGGGTCCCGTGGTTCGACTGCAGTCTCCCCCTCTCCCTCTCTCTCCCTCTCCCTCCTTCTCCCTCTCTCTCAGCCTTCCTGACTGTCGCGACGCCGGCTAAAGTATTGATTCAGCACCGTCCGCTTAAAAACCCAACTGCTGCCGTTTCTTTTCATAACTGTACATTTCATATCAAGAGGTCGTTTGGGGCCAAACAGGCCGCAAATGCCGCCGGTACCGGCCGCCGCGCTGCCAAATGCGGCAGGCGTAACTACGCCACTTTCGCCACTGCGCTGTTTTCGGCGCACGTCGCCCCGCATTCGGGCTGAAAGAACCGGCGGTGGTATACGGTCGACTGTGGCGCAGCGGCGGCGGCCACGCGCGGCACAGTGCGCACCCGCCGCCCATCGTTCGCCACCGGACAGCGCTGAAAATTAATTAGCCGTTGTTTGTTTGGTTGTAATTGATTAGGAAGAAAAATAAATACCCGCCTCGGCGTGGATCAATGGGGAACGTTACTCCTGTACCGGAGCTCGTTTTGCTGCGCGGAGCTACGAACGGGTGGCTGGCTCCATGTAAACCTACGCGTGCATCCCTGGCTGTTAGATTCGCTGCGTATCCAGCTTTTATTTCGGGTACTTGTTATGAAAAAATGGGCAAGTAATGATTGCCTAATAAATTGTCATTCATCTACGACCCACACACCACGTCTTCTCAAAGTCGTATATTTTCATACAATGTGATTCATCACACTCCCGTTCTTTGGATAATTTCTGGGCAAAATGATCATGTTTTTCTATGGTTGTCCGTGCAACAAGAAACATCTCTGTCTGGATCGTCAGCAAGCGTTAAATTGTTTTGACCATGATCTTTTTAAGTTGCTTGAGATCATACCTGGCACGCTGGGAGGGAAACGCTAGTCTTCCAAGGCTGTGACGTGTTAGGGCTATACAATGTCACAAAGCACATAACACGCATAGATACGCATGCTGCACTTTTGGCAAGAAACCCTTCTCTGCGTTGCATTTCATCTTTCCCGATTTAACGGGCAGCGGGTTGTTTGTTGACTGGCCCAAGGCAGAAGAGCCTCTCACAGCAAGGCGCCCTGTGTTGCTAGACTGTGCCGGACGGCAGATCTGTCATGCGGCACAGTGGGACTGCTGGCTCGTCCGCGATTTTCTTCGTTTCTGTGCGATTGACGAAATGCAAGGGTGACCGTTGCATGGCTATATTGCAGCGACCATTGCAAAAGTCCGATGTGTCAGACCAGCTGCTTGAGCGCGTCAAAAAATAAACTGGTTCACCTTGTCTTTCACTACCCAAATTGTTAACAGAGGGAGGTGATTAATCTTCGTCGTTTTCTTTGGAGGCTACTGCCCGTTGATGACCAGAGCTTATATGCGCATGGTGGAGCGCATTTTGGAATACACGGTGATATTTGCATTTTTGTGGTCAAAATATTTGTCTCATTTTGTTGAGCCTGAACCGTTCGGATAACACTTACATGCCACAGCAATGTCTTCAAATGATGGGTGGCATGTATTATCGAGGCGATAGCAGATAGTAGTGTTCCACGACAAATTGAACGTGAAAATGAGGGATTATCACCACGATCTCTCAAAAATGGATGAGCACATGCTTATATGTTTATATGATGCTCTGCTGCCACCCATGTAGCGTTCACCTCAATCAGAGCAGCTGTTACTTAGTTGCAGCCAGCGACATTTTTGACAGGCCTCACATCGAGGTTACCTTTAGCGGGCTACCTGCCCCACGGGGAACGGCCATGATAAACATGTTGAGGATGGTTGATATCGTCTTAAAGTAATGAATAATTTGCAGAGTTTTTCTTTGCATATTTCGTTTCTTCACATTCGTACGGGGAGGTCCGCAGACAGCATAGACAATAGCGTCATGTACTTTCAACCCAATACTGGTTCCACGCCACGACATAGAGCTGGCCTAGAGCGGCCTCAGGGGTGAAAAAGGTTCTGATTTATGGGATATGATCGGTGACAAGTTCGGACACTTGCGAACCAAATGGTGACAAAGTTGTAGAAGTGATAACACACTGCAACAGACCAGACCATATTACAACAGACCATCCCAGTCAGACTCGGACAGTCAAACTCAAAAGTTAGCATTGGTCTGTACTCGCTAACGTTTGTAGTGTGAGATTATGTACAGCACAGATCGAAACGTTGCCGTTTCGCTGTATGTGCAAGTTGAGCCGCAATACCTTTCCAAACATAGTAGCTTTAATCGGGACAGTTTTCAGTATGTGACAGAAATATACTACAAACTATACTATATCAGTGATGACATCACAGAGTACTGTTAACACAGTGTTTTTCAATGCACCTCAGATCATAACTTTTCAGATTTTTTTCTGCCCAAATTCGCTTCACATACTTAGCAGTATGAAATACCAGGTAACTAGGCTTATTTCTAGTTGCAAAGATCGTGACTGGCCACAAAATCTTGCAACGAACGTGACCAGTTTGCTACGCGGCGTTTCAAAGCGTCGTGCCGTTTGAGATAGATGGGCTCGAATGCTCACCAAGCGGTAATGAGTTGCGTTGAGTGCAGGGCTTTGGGTTGCCGTTGGTTGTGATCATGTCGAGAAAAGCTGTCTGGCTTGAAGTACGCAGCCAATCGTCAGCTGTTTTTTTTTTTTAAAGGCGATGTGCGGCTTTTCTAAGGATCTACTATGGAGAGCGTCTATGGTAGTAGCGTTAAAAAGCTCTTCCAATTTAGCAGGCTTTTTGTTTGTGGATACCCGAGCTGTAGCTTTATAGGTCAACGAAGGGCGTAGGAGCAACACATGTCAAGGATTTACCCGGGCTTTCCTGCTGCTGAGAGAAACAGCAGCTTTGAGGTAAGATACCGAGCATCGCTGGTGCAGAATTCACACCGCCCGTCGCACCTCAGATTTAGCGCTCTGACCGGTGGACAGGTGTGAAATAAACACTTCTTATTGTCATTATGTATGGAGTTAAACTTGCTCATAGAGCTAGTTATAAAGAGCTAAATGAAGGTGCTAGAGATGTTCAAAAATATCGTTTGCACCTGCTGATACCAATATCGCATGGGTTTTGCACTCATTAATTGGGATAATGTTAGAAAATGTGAGACCTGCACCGGCAATACCAGTGAATGCGAATATAAGGAAGGTTGCCAACGTTTCCAGCCGATTGCACGATGACGTCACAAAACTAAAGGGGTTATTGTTTTCTGGTGCTCATAGAACCACGTTATCGGTAGATGTAGGCTACATGGGGGCAGTTTTGGAAAAAAGGTAGAGGTGAGGGAGGGGGCACGTGCAGGAAGAAAAATGGCTAAGCCTGCCTCTGAAATGCACTTAAAACAGTTTTCTCACCAGGTTTGACACACCTTCTTTTAAGAGTTGGGAGCAGTGGCGTAGTTTCTCAAATATAGTTTGGGGAGGGCTAAACTCTAAAAAAGGATGATTAGTGAAAAATAGCGAATACAAAATGATAAATAAGGATAGGAAACTACATTTCTGGTTAAGAGGCGCAATCCCCCTCTAAAATAGGAGCCTACACACCTCTGGACTGGTTATGAAAGTATCCTTCTATCAGATAATTTTGTTAGTTTTTCATTATTATATTCTTATCCCATAATTGCCGTAGTATTGCAGAACAGGGAATGTTTGATGGCTATGTTGCATTGCATTTCAGCTGTCTTTGTCCTTGCGGTTTATCGCATTTAGAGTTATATTGAAACAGTTTCTGATAAAGTTGGCCCCGGCGACAATGTAGACAATTTAAAAATTTTTAGAGACAGAAAAGGCGCGTTTTCACCCCGGGGTGGCTTGATGTGATTTCACGCTCGAACATGTATCCAACACATGATGTGCGATAAGCGTAGCCCTCAAATCCCAAGCGGGCAGAAAGCCTCTTCCATCATATTTTAAAACTCCTTGTAAAGACAGCGGTGTACATCAATGGCGTCTGATTGCCGGAAATAAGGTCAATGTAACCTCATTTGACCTATGTGTGTCCCAGTGCAATGTGTCTGGCCCGCTGTGGCAAGGGGGTCATCGTACATCTTGTAATATCAAGTCACAAAATGACATATCCCTTTTTTGCTCATACTGGAAACAATGCGAAAAATATGTTTTGCAACTGTGGATCTCATCGCGTTATGTCACGCTTAACAGTTCAAAACGCTATCAGATATACTGACGTTACTACGTCAAGTTACTTTGCATCCATTATATGTTACTACGTTACGTTACTCTACGCTACTTTGCATCCATTTTTTTCAGCACGCGAAGGTAGGTACCATTAGAACTAAATTACATGGTTCTGCGTTTAGTCAAAGTGTGTAACGTCTCTTGTGTGCCGCGACTGCCACATACGCAAGTGTAATATAATCATGTCATATTCACAACATGTGGCGCGGGAGTTAGGTACATTTTGCCCGCTATCCAACATCTGACATGGCCGCTGGTAATTTAACATCTCATATACATGCTAACCACTTGTCAAAGGCTCGAGTGATTGCGCAAAGGGCTCAAATATTACCAAATACTTATTTGAGGTATGTATGTGGCGCCTCGTTCAGCCTCGCTGACATATGGCTTTTTCTGTAGCGTTTGTTGTCTGTAAATCATGGCAGGAGAACCACAGGTGTGCAAATGCAATGTTGACATCCAAGTTTTGAATTATTTATGCGAGTGGGGCTAGAACAGACAGGACGCAAATTAATAAGTATGTGCCCGATGCCAAAGTTTTTGGTTGGATGCCAAGAATACACAACTCACATGAAATAGCTTGCTTCTGGGTGAGGTAGTTGCTTTTGCCCCCTGGTTGTAGAGGCCAGCATGCTCATCTTTTGAGCTATATAAATCAAGGGAGTGGGTAAAATTATCTATGAGAATGCAACAATCTTTGTTGTGGTAGACACCTGGAAATAAATTAGATGAAGTAATATACTTAAAGTGAAGACGGTGTTTTCTCAGACAGGAGCTTGGATTTCAAAACTCTGTGGTGTACTTTCTAACAATAAAACATACCCTGCCCAGTTTCAGCTCTGAAACGCAAAGCCACCCACTGGGGTTAAATGGGATTGCTGACAAAACCAGGAGGAATGGTAGCTATACTTGTAAAAGATAGGTTAAATTAGATTATTACGCATTTCAGTTGTTCTTGGAGGAATGAGACATCTAGTTTTTTTTAGCAGCATATACGAATGTCATCCATTCATGTCAATTTGTCAACGCTATCTGTCCATCAAAAAACTTGTTTGTGGCATGTGTGACTGATTCATGTACTACGCTGCCTATTTTTGCTTTGCCCGGAATTGAAACTACCGTATTTTATTGGTTTAAAGGCTTTGCTCTGAGCGGGTGTCTTCATTGAGCGTTTCAGGGACTTTTTAATGATAACTTCTATTTGATTGTTTTTTTATCCATTCAGTCCGCCTGAGCTGGCGAATTCAAAAATCTGGTTCGGTCCTAATCCATGTTCAGAAGAAATTTCTGATCCAATGCAACCCGACCCACGGTTTGATCCATAACTCGTGGATTGATCCAATCCGTAAAGTACTCTATTGCTTATGAAAACGGGGGATCACGAGTGATCAGTGATAACGGAGATGATGAGTGATCAGTGATAACGGGGATCACGAATGATCAGTTATAACGGGGATCACGAGTGATCAGTGATAGAGGGATCACGAGCTGTCATAAGTATGGCTCAGAACGTCAATTACTGTAAAGTTTAACCAATGCTGCTTTA